ACATGATGCACCTACATCTGGGCATCGTGGTGATAAGATCACATATGAGATAGTGCGTGATTATGCATATTGGCCACACATGTTAAGGGATGTTAAGACATACTGTCAGGGATGCTTGATTTGTCCGCAATATCAACCCCATGGTCCAACCCATCGTGCACCACTTCAGAAGAGGGGGGTGTCATTACCTTGGTCTGATATTCAAATTGACTTTATAGGTCCTGTAACAAGATCTTCAAGAGGTAACAAATACATGTTAACCGTTACATGTATGTACACAAAGTGGATAGAATGTTTGCCTTGTAAAGAGAACACGAGTATCGTGTGCGCCACTTTGTTGATTAACCATGTCTTTTCCAGGTTCGGTCTGCCTCAAAGAATTGAGTCAGACAGAGGTAGTCACTTTACCAGCGAAGTAATGGCTAAGATGTGGAACATTCTAGGTGTTAAGCGAAAGCTACATATTGCATACCGCGCTGCGTCTAGCGGGGGGGTAGAGCGATATAACCAGTCTATCGTTAATATTCTGAAGAAATATGTTAAGGAGTCTGGTAAAGACTGGGACATTAAATCGGCCCTAGTTTTAATGGCGATTAGAGCTACACCTAGCACTGCTACCAAATTGTCACCTTTTGAATTGATGACAGGAAGAAAGATGGTTTTACCACAGCATTTACTATATCGTACTTCAGATCATAACTTGATCAATGCTGCCACTACGCATCAGTATATCGAAGATTTGCGCAAGCATTTACAGCATGCTATCAGGTTTACGTTGGCAATGATTTTGCCCAAAAGAATCTAGAAAAAGCAGCGACAGGGGTTAAGACCTATTACGATCTAAAAACCACGAAAAAGGAATATGAGATAACAGATCAAGTCTATCTGTATAACTTTGCGCGAAATCAAGTCAAGGAAAAGAAATTTTTACCTTCTTGGAAAGGGCCATATGTCATCATTGACAAAATTTCCCCTGTAGCGTATAAGATAAAAATTCCTAAGGATGGTGATTTTATTGAAAAGTGGGTTCACATTAACCAGTTGCGTGCTTGTCATCCTAAATCTCAATTAAGGATTATAGGTGTGGATTCGGATGCAGAAGGGTGAACGACTAACCTGGATGAATGCTTGATTCACGTGGTATAGTATGATGTGAAATGTTGTGATGTGCCATGATCTCATGTACGTTCATGTCATTAACCATTTCCTTGCCATCCAATAACTACATTTTATAAGCAGGTTACTAGCTTGTTTAACTGCTATAGGCATATTGCTGAGGAGTCAGTAATAAATGTAGTGAGGGATGAAGTTATAAAAATAGAATTAGACAGAATACATATGTGATGAATCGTAATAATGTGTTGTCCTAGGCCAAGTGATGTCACACTGTTATAAGTTTGTATGCTTAACAAACCTTGAATCATTAGTAGATAAGTCTGAAACGAGTTCCTGATCCGGGACTGTCGAAGGATGTCCAAGAAGGATGTGGCGTGTTTCTGGATCGTACTGCTCCTGTGCCAAGAGCTACGGACCGACCCGATCGCAGAGATGGGACCATCCTCCGGCATCCTGATTCAAGAGACACCAGGGTTCATCTTGACAGAGAAGAGGATCCTGACCCGACGTGTGTTCGTCAGCTTGGACCCCAAGATTTCCATCGAGAAGGCATACAACATTTCATCGATGCAGCTTCCTGAGTTACAGACTTGGTACCAGATGCACCTCCAAAGAGCACAGGACCGTGTGCGAAACATCTTGGAGCAAGCCCGGAAACCATTTGTATCCAGTTCTATTCCGATGAGCAACCGACCCAAAAGGTTCCTCACCGCTATAATTGTTGCATTAGTTTGTGCCACTGTCGGTGCAGTTGTTGCAACTGGAATGTCTGCAGCCAACTCTATTACTGTCCAAAAGCTGGATATGGAAATCTATGCGCTAAAGCAACACATTAACGATATTCATCAGGTGATACAACAGCAAAGAACACTTCTCCAAGACGTGTTAACTATTGTGGAAGACACAGTTGTTACAACAAATTTGCATTCGGAGTTAATTGCCAAATCCACTGAGTTGCACCAAAGTCATGACTTATTCAAGCGTGAACTTTTATTTCTGCATGACCCAATATTGTTCCACACACTTGCTTTTCTTGACGAAGTGCAAACTGGAATGATCGAATTGGCAGGGGGACGCATACCTCTGTATTTTGTATCCAAGGATATTGTTCATGCAATGCTTGCCAATGTGGATGGAGAGACAATTGAGCCTATGCAATTAAATCTGGCCTTTGAGATGGGGAGCGCAATACCTCTCTTAATTGATCCGGAACGTATGGAGATTTGCTTTTTATTGACCATACCATATGTAACTCCCAAAGACATTTTTCAGATGAAAACAATGTACTATGTAATAATGATAATATGGTTGATTGTACTAAGTGTAAAGTTCAAAACTTTTACAGGTACAAATATATACAAAAATGTTCATTCCACGCACGGGCCTATGTTAGAAATGATGTGATTGCACAATATGTCTGATAACTTCTATAGTGCTTATTCATAAGCTAAATTAATTTTGGCTATGAAATGCACTAAAGGGGGGTTATGTCAGAGTATTTATATCGGCAGACATTTTGTGCTATGATAGAAACTAAAAGTGTATATTCTGAGTCACTCTGAACAGACCAGACTCCATTTTGTTATTTCAAGTTAACAAAGAAGACACTAGATTTCTTTCTGTAAGACTGGCCTCTTTGCCAGAGCTAAGGAATGCATAGCATAGTATAAACAAGTGATAAGAAGAATATAATCAAATCTAAACCCAGACGATTGTGACAGAGAAGATTAAATAATAATATTTAACTGTCTATATATATAAGGTACCATTGTATGGAAAAGGGTAAACTTAGTTCATGATCTGTCATATCAGAAATTATAGCAGATTTGCAGACACATAGTCTGAACAAAATTTAAGAACCCCTTTGATCTTTGAAGGATACGTAAGTTATAGCCACTATCTAGATAGGCCAAAATGACGTCAAAATAGCCACCAGGAAAAGTTAACTCTTTCCTGGATAGGTATGTTTAGTGGGACAAAACTGCCCTCTATAGACCAAATACCTAATTTGCGATCTGGAAGATAACCACACCTCTAGTGCTTCTATTGGGTTATCAACTGATGACGTACAGAGAGTCTGGCCCTTTAAAAGTTAAGACAAAGGGAAGATAGAAAAATACGAAGGAGGCAGATGCAAGATATGCAAAGGAGAGAAAGGAGAGGAATTGGAAGTTTGGGGACTCCAACTCGGACAACATCTGAGACTAACACTCTACTCCTAAAACTCTAACACTTAGAATTTACTGACTTTCTAACCAACACCTCCATGCAGAGAGACTACCAATCGGATGAAATATCTACTCAACTGGTAATTATACTGGTTTCATTTAATTAAATTAAATTAATTAAAATGTATTAATAGCATTATATATGACTGGATAAAGCACGGTCAGATTTCCATATTAAGAAATCTTAGTTAACTAAGAATATATAGTTATAAACATTCCATTCTGCAGGTGGAATTAAGAATAATTATATATTGATGTGATATTATCACGTGTTAGCATACCGCTGTTTTTATCCAGGTGTATTGATTTGCTCTAAATTAAGATAGATATCTTTTAGACAAATTAAAAATCTGCTTATATAATGTTAGATTCTCTTATTGGATGGTTTAAGAAAATGAATTTAAACTGGATTAAATGTTATTTTATTTAAAATGACATCTAGGGAGATCTAGCCAGCATTGAAAGGGTTATTCTAACTGTCGGCTAAACTTTACGACCTTACGCTGCACTCTGAGGAATTCTGTTCTCTGTGTGAAAAGTTTCACTTTCAATCTGTGTAAGGATACCTCATAAATCGTCAGAATTCTTGACAGAAAATGCTAGTTAGCCATTGAAACGTAATACCCATTTCTTTGTATTGCATACCATTTTATACTGGATATTCATTGATTATTGTCACGCATGTTACATAATATTATTTGTTAATTTTTGGTTATCATAAATAAAATCTATTTTTATACATTGTGATATTATTATATGAAATACATTCCACTTAACACGATAAACGTTCTTTGGGATCTGAGAATTGAATTAGTGGGCAATTCTCAACTGTTTACTATTATTATCCCATAAATATCCCCACACCCCATGCACACACACACTGCCCCCGCATACACACACACACACTGCCCCCCATACACACACACACTGCCCCCCCATACACACACACCCCCCCCATGCACACACTGTCCCCCATGCACACACTGATCCCCATACACACACACACTGCCCCCCCATACATGCATTGCCCCACATAAACTGCCAACACGCACACATACACAGCCCCCCCATACACACATACACGTTGCCTCCCCCACACACATTCACTCACTACACCCCCCCCACACACTGAACCTTTCACACACACTGCAACCCTCACACATTGCACCACTCAGACACACAACTGCTCCTATGCCCTACTAGAGTCTCATATACCAGCAGCCCCAGGTAAGCTGTCAAACGGTTCTTAAACGGTTTGACTGCTTACTTTAAAGTTATTTTTAACATTTACTTAGTCCTTAAAGGACCACTATAGGCACCCAGACCACTTCAGCTCAATGAAGTGGTCTGGGTGCCAGGCCCCTCTAGTTTTAACCATGCACTGAAACATAGCAGTTTCAGAGAACCTGCTATGTTTAACTGAGGGTTAATCCAGCCTCTAGTGGCTGTTTCACTGACAGCTGCTAGAGGCGCTTCTGCCATTCTCACTGTGAAAATCACAGTGAGAAGACGCTCTACATCCATAGGAAAGCATTGAGTAATGCTTTTCTATGGGCGGTTTGAATTCGCGCACGGCTCTTGCTGCGCATTCAAATCTGACGTCGGCAGAGGGAGGAGAGTTCCCCAGCGCCGAGGGAGCCGACTCAGGTGAAAGGTAAATGGCTGAAAAGGTTTTAACCCATCCTGTCCAGCGGGAGGGGGGTCCTGAGGGTGGGGGGACCTAATGACCCTATAGTGACAGGAAAACGAGTTTGTTTTTCTGGCACTATAGTGCACCTTTAATAATTTGACTTAGAAGGGCCCCGGATCTAATTTTGTCCGGGTGGCACAGAAGGCTGTCAGTCCATCCCTGTCCACACCAGTTTTGTTCACCTACATCCCTCTTAAGTTTCCATACTTAAGCAAGAGTATGTGAAGAGCAGCCAAAAACAAAATTCCATAGGCATGGGCCTGGAACTGCAGCTCCATCAGCCCCTATGCTAATCCGGCCCTGGGTACAATAACTGTGCTGTAGTGGCTCTGGTGTTTGAATTATGAAGTAAATGGGCCATGGAATTGTTTTACATTGAAAGAACATGATAAACAAAAAATATTTTCTTTTAATTTTATTTATTTATTTATAAAGAAGGGGGAAAAAAACCTTTTATAGAAAAGGAAACAAATCTTCATGAACAATTTTAATCATTAAATTTTGATTTGTAGCAAATTAAAGTCTGATGGCAAAATGTGGGCAGAGTAACTAGTCACAACTTTTGAGTGTTTTGAGTGAATTTGAATATTCACAGGGTTATTCATTACAGTATGGAGAACATGTTATAGAACCTATCTGTGATAAAAGAGGCTCTACAAACAAATAATGAATAATAGAAAGATACATAGAACAAGCTGCTACAACACTTGGATTGGTTCGTTCCTTACACCACACCAGAAATGTACAAAAAAGAACTTATACTGTGTGACCTGATAATGACTCCAACATCAGAAAATGAGTGGAGCGCTTGCTGGTAAGTATATATTATCACTACGCAATCACTCACCCTTGATATGCACTGGGTCAGGGGAGGGCTGGCAGCATTAGGCCTGGGGGGCAAAACCAGTCAAGTGGCCCATTGCACCACCAAATCAGTTCACCATCCATGCCCACCTTTTCCTGGTTTTATAACGGATATTGATGTTATGCTAATCAGTAGCTCTTTGCCATACCCGCTCCTTCACGGCTCCAGGCACTGCTTGTTGTGAGTGTGAGCCACTGTAAATTAGGGGCAGAGGGCACTTGCACTGCGGTAAAGATGGGGCTGGGCAGGAGGAGAGTGCAGTGCAATCAGTGCACTCCCCTCCTGTGGGTCACCAGTAGACTGGTGCACCTGCCCAGGATCAGAGCCGGTGCAAGGATTTTTGCCGCCCTAGACAAAATAAAAATTTGCTGCCCCCCCATGTGACATCACAATGCCCCACCCATATGAACTAACGCCAGTGCTGCACACAGTGTGTGTTTACATTAAAAAGGCTGCAGGGACCAGCTATAGACACCAGAACCACTTCATTAAGCTATAGTGTCCCTTTAATGTAAGGTACATTATAGATTAGTGTCACTAATAATATACTAGATTGCCTACTTACAAGCAGATGAGGATGATGATGGGCTGCAGTTTGGCTCCACTGGTCTGGTGTAGAACAGGATCTCTGGAGGCTGTTTGCAACTGTGGTCACAAAATTCAATGTTCTGGGAGAATTGGAAGCAGCTCAATTTTTTGGGGCCCCTTACACAGCTCAAGGTCTGGGCCCCAGGGCCTGACGGTGAGTATGCCCATAAGGCCCACTCATAAGTTCCACCCACCCATGAGTTCGCTCACAGGGAGTGGAGTGTGTAGGGGATGTGTTATGTGTTATTGTAGAGGATCTAATATGTGTGCTTATGGTATGTAGTGTATAGGGTTACCAGTTTGTGCAGGTGATGTAGTGTGTTTGTGTGTAGTGGAAGCAGTGTGTATTTGTGTATAAGGGATGTATTATGTGTTTCTGGTTGTGTGTAAGGGATGCATTGTGTGAATCTGTGTTTGTATGCATAAGGGATGCAAGGTGTGTGTCTGTATGTGTGTGCATTCAGGGCGGATTAACATAGGGGCTGATGGAGCTGCAGCTCAGGCTGGCCCATGGAATAGGCCCATTGATTTATAAAAAAAAAAAAAAATTTTTTTACATTTTTTTTTTTCCACACACTACTCTTAGGGATTCCACCTGGCTTTTATTTTATTGGCACAGCCAGTATTTGAGGCTGCCTGGCTGGTGCCAATATTGCAGTGATACTGGCAATACAAATGCTGGTATTTTTCTCAGTATAAACAAGAGAGACAGCCTACAGCTCAGGGAAGTAAGGGATGGGGGAAAGGCTGCAAGGAGACATACACTGAGACACTAAGGGGCACTGGGAGACATTATGGCAGACACTGTGACACTAAGGGGCACTGGGAGACATTATGGCAGACACTGAGACACTAAGGGACACTGGGAGACATTATGGCAGACACTGAGACACTAAGGGACATTGGGAAACATTATGGCAGACACTAAGGGACACTGGGAGACATTATGGCAGACACAGAGACACTAAGGGACATCGGGAGACGTTATGGCAGACACTGAGACACTAAGGGACACTGGGAGACATTATGGCAGACACTGAGACACTAAGGGACATTGGGAGACATTATGACACAGACACATGTGGACACAGTATCCCCATGTCTCCCAGCCAGTGTCCCTGGTGTCTCAGTGCCCCCTAGTCTCCCAGTGACCCCCAGTCTCCCAGTGCCTCCAGTCTGCCAGTGTCTCACTGTCCCGATGTCTCCTAGTGCCTCCATGTCTCCCAGTGCCTCAAGTGTCTCAATGTCCCCATGTCTCCAAGCTAGTGTCCCTAGTGTCTGTGGCCCTGGTGTCTCCTTGTCCCCATGTCTCCCAGTGCCCCCATGTCTCAATGTCCCCATGTCCCCCAGTCAGTGTCTCTAGTGTCTGTGTCCTTGGTGTCTATGTCCCCATGTCTTCAAGCGTCCCCTATTTTCCCAGTGTCCCCATGCGTCCCAGCCAGAGTCCCCGAGTTTCCCAGTGTCACTGGTGTCTCCGTGTCCCTAGGTCTCCCTGTGTCCCCAGGTCTTCCTGTCTTCCTAGTGACATGGGGACCCTGGGATACATGGGGACACAGGGAGACATGGGGCATTGAGACACTGATACATAGGAACACTGAGACCTGGAGTAATCGACACATGGGGGCACTGGGAGACATGGGGGCACTGGGAGGAATCCATCTATACAGCAGAATCAAACTAAGTAGTTTTTTGGTGATTTTACAGCATTTTCTCTTATATCACTCCTTGTGATTTACATCATGTGATGTCACCCATACATATTTAATTATGCAAATTAGCAAGGCCGGTATGTTTTTCCAAGAAAGGTGGCAACCCTAACTACTTTTCACATACTCTTACTTAAGTATGGAAACTTAAGAGGGATGTATGGGAACAAAACTTGTGTGGACTGGCTGACAATGAATATAGTTAAAGGGACACTAGAGTCACCAGAAGAACTACAGCTTATTGAATTTGTTCTGGTGAGTAGAATCATTACCATCAGGCTTTTTGCTGTAAACACTGTCTTTTCAGAGAAAATGCAGTGTTTACATTACAGCCTAGTGATAACTTCACTGGCCACTCCTCAGATGGCTGTTAGAGATCCTTCCTGGGTCATGGCTGCCTAAAATGCATCCAAACATTCAGTATCTCCTCCCTCTGCATGCAGACACTGAACTTTCCTCATAGAGATTCATTGATTCAATTCATCTCTATGAGGAGATGCTGATTGGCCAGGGCTGTGTTTGAATCATGCTGGCTCTGCCCCTGATCTGCCTCTTTGTCAGTCTCAGCCAATCCTATGGGGAAGCACTGTGATTGGATCAGGCCACCACTTCTAATGATGTCAGCAGACTGCCCTTAGTTGGCCAGCTGCATGATTGGCAGGCAGTCTGACATGCATTCATACCAGGCTGGCCTTCTAATTCTTTGGGCAGACATGTCCTCTTTTTGGGCATGTTCGCCCCTTTTGGCAGGTTACGTGATTTGTGTCAGTGGCACACCCTTTTACCATGCCCATTGACTTCCTGCTTGACTGGACACTGCTGTTAGGGGTTATGGATTTACTTGAAAGATGAAAACATAAATTAGAGAGAGATTAGCCTGGGGTATGTGTTTTCTTATAGCTGCTGTTTTCTTTCTCTCCAGCACCATCTCCATCAGATACATGACGCTTGTGAGTGTTTTACTGTTTTTGGTCGATATGATTATGTAATTAGGCCCGTCATAATTGTTAGCACCAGGCCCACTGGGCTCTTAATCTGGCCCTGTGTGCATTGAGTGTAAGAGATGTATTGTGTTTCTGTGTGTATGTAAGAAAAGAAGTGTGTGTGTTTGCATGTGTATGTACGGGTTTGCATTGTCTGTTTCTGTGTATGTGTGCAAAGGATGCATTGTCTTTGTGTGTAAGGGTTGCATTGTGTGTGTGTGTGTGTGTAATGGATGCATTGTGTGTTTCTCTGTGTGTAAGGGAAGTATGTTGTGTTTCTGTGTGTGTAGGGATGCATTGTGTGTTTCTGTGT